ATAAAATAATCAATATTTGATATATTTTATTTTAAATAAAATCAGATTTTATTTAAATAATCATACCAAATATTGATTTTTAATTAATAATGTGATTGGTTTATAACCACCATCAATCATTATTATTGTATTAATAAAAATAAGATTAATTATGTGGATTAGTTAACAACTCCTAACCACCATAATTAATTTATTCTTATTATTATTTAATCTTCAATCATATTAAAGATAAATAATAAAATAATAATTGTTGAAAACATTTTTCAAGACTTTATTATTTTAATCTATTCTTCCATTTCCTTATTTAATAATCTTATTATTATTTAGATTTGAAATTTAAAATCCAATTTTAAATTACAACTAGTAATTAGTAATTCTATTAATTACTAAATTAATATCCAAAATTCAATTAATCAATCTAATTGATTAATTTAATATATTCCTTTAATTGATATCTAATCAAATTAGATTTGTCAATTAATTCTAACTCTTTAGAAATACTATTTGAATTTTACCTTCATTCAAAAATTAGTGTGACCTTTTAGGTTCACAATTAATACTAGTAGTGGGTTTACAACTCTTTGTAATTTGAGTTATTCATATTAACTCTTATTCTTGAATTAACTCTTTAATTCAAGAACCCACATATCATGGGAACATCTAGCAAGTAGCATGAATCTAGTATTAAGTGAATAGCGAGTAAACCTATTTCGATTACAAGTTCATACATGTAAAATCCTTTCGACATCCGATTTCCCGATTAAATCTTTGGGTATGATTTTGTCGAAACCCAAATTGATTTAATAACTATGATTCCATTTCAAGTTTAGTAATTCATTTATGAATCTCTATTCATCCCGCTTGGCCAAGGACTTTGAATTACTAACTATGAAACACATAGGAAATTCACTTATCTTTATAAGTGTCGAATCCTTTGTTGACCACTGACAAACTTCCATACATATTAATATAATACCCAAAATATCCCTTTATACGATTGTGCTAGCAATCAAAAGGATAAATCAAAGTAAAATATAATATGCACAAATTTACCATCGTGCCTCAAGTCTAAGGATTAATCATGTACTATTGTAACATGAAAATTCTTATTCGACATGATAAACTTTCATTAAGAATTTTCATACGGTCATGTTCAGTGAACTTGTTCTCTAACAAGCAACCACATATATGTATTTGCTCCCACGCTAATGTTGATGGAATGCAACATTCTTATCCAATAAGCATACATACTATGTGCAAGTCTTTTCCGGATTTATTCGATATCCCATCTCGAAACATCCAACGACTTGGAACTGTATTTAAGATCACAGCTTTCAAGATATGTTCCATGATCACCATCTCTATGCGCAACCATATCTTATAGCTATAAGTGATCTAGGGATTTTATCTTAAGTGCAAATATATGATAAATGCTTACTCTTAAAATAAAGTAATGCCTTATTATTTAATATAATTCCAATAGATTGTATTTACAAGTAGAATACGTCCAATCTGATTGGAACACCGGGTACACTACTCCAACAATACCCTCAAGAAAATCAACCCTGAGTAGCAAAAAGAAAGGCAAGAGAACAGGAGATAACATCCAAGGAGCTAAAAATATGAGGATTCAAGAAAGTGTGGCAGAAGCCTCATAGTGTCACTATCATTGCTACTTTGATTTCAATGTTCAGATGTTTTGCTACTTTGTTTTGCTTCTTTTATGATGAGTATTCACTTTGTTTTGCTACTTCTATGATTGGTAATCAGTTGTTCTGTTATGTTTATGATGGTTTAGGGCCATGGATACTTTTGGTGATCAGTTGTTATGGTTATGTTTTGGTTATGATGATGGTATGTATTTGACAATATGTTTTGTACTAGTTATGTGTTGTGTTTTTTCTACTCAAGAAAGATTTTGTTATGTTTTTCTACTTCTATGTTTATGGTTATAGTTTAGGGCTGAAAATATGTTCTCTACTTCTATAAAAACCCAAAACAATCATGTTTGATCAACTACCCTACAAAACACAACATAAAGAACAAAACAACAATTATTCACCAACACATCAGAAAACAAAACAACAACTCATCACCAACAAATTATCCAAATGATCCAATCATTTCATAACACAACACATTAGAAAACAAAACGGATGAACAAAAGTACACATCCATTCAATTCATTTCATTACCAAAAACCTCAAAACATAACAATCACATTGATCCATTCAGTTCATAACAATCCTTCATCAAACCAATACACTACAACAAACACATCTCCTACTCATCACCAACACATCACAAAGCACACATCCTACATATCGATCAACTACCCTACAAAGTTCAGTCGTCCCAACTTAGTGTATCCATTAGAACGATTGTCTCTTTTTGAACAAACCAATATCAATATTATTAATAGGAGCATTATAAGCCAAATTGCTGCCATTGCAAACATTCTTTGGAGCTTGCTCACTTGGTCCATTGCAATCTTCAGCTTTTTCTCCAGTCTTCACACTTCAAGGTTTGAACCTCCAACAAATATTGAGTTTGCTCATAGAGATCTTGCACCTTTTCAATCTCTGATACCTTAATTGCCATTCTTTCTGTCATCAGATTTTCCATAACCTCTTTACACCTTAATTGTTCTTCCAAACTCTTTTTCTGACCCATTAAGTTCACAAAGCAACCTTTCTGAAATGGAGGAAGACTTGGATCAATCCATTCAAAATGACCGCAGTTCTAAGGGCCTTATAAATACAGAATAAAAATGCAAGGCACTCAAAATGACCACAAACATGAAAATCATACTAAAATGACCTCGGTAAAATGGCTCACCTTCCTTTGACTACACCGACTGAACCTCCTCGCCGGACTTTCTTGAGTCATTGACGTAAACACGTCCACCCCATGCTCACAAGTTTTTTGACTTGAATGAGGCGAAACATATCGGCCAGAGCTTTGAGAAGTCGATGAAGACATGCTTTCCGTTCGAAATTTAGGGTTTGAGGAAATTTGGGGATTTTTCGGATAGGTCGTCGATTGAAGTTGAGATTCTCAGTATTATATACGCAATTGCAACGTGGAATATAGATTAGAAACAACAATTGACACATCTGAAAAAAAAAAGCCACGTCGATTGAAAGCCCGAAATTGGGCCCTGATCATAAATTTGCAAACAATATTGAAAGTGGTGCATATTTTTGCCAAGTTTAAAGGTGGATCATAAAAATGCAAATTTCGAAAAGGTCATGGTTTTTTAAGTAATTAGGCCTAAAAATAATGACAAAGAATGGTCCATTTCAACAAGATAAGAAGACAAAATTGTAAACTATCATATGCAATTATTCATGTAAAAGATTTTAATTTAGTTTCACTGTTCATATTTGTCAATCTTCCCCGAACAAAAAAGATTTCGAATAAACAAGACTAACTTAGATAATGAAGATTTTTCAACAAAAATTTTCATGCAATCTTTTTCATTATTACTTTTAAATATTATTGTTTGCAATATTTATTTCAACTTTCAATATATTTGACACTGTCCATTATGTAATGTACTTCTTGTGTTTGGTTAATTGAAAATAATAATGCAAAAAATAGAATATATCATAAAAATATAAAAAATATTTTAATCACATTACAATATAAAATATGTATCACATGCATCGCACGCAGGGGCGGACGCTGACTTTTAGGGCAATAGGGGCACAAATTACATTCAACGCCGAAGGTCAACAATCAAATCAATATTTAACCAATTACAAAATTAAAAATATTAAATCTTGACCAAACATCTTGTTTCTTATTTAATAGATAGGGTTGAGTCTTACATTCTCATTTTAAGAATAGGGACACATTTGATCAAATCCCTATATAATATATATTAATTTTTGTTTTTTTTTTTTATGTATTTTTAGAGGGAAAGTGAAATAAACAAGAAGTTGAGTATAACATAAACATAATTCCACAACTTAAAAAATAACATACTATTGAAGGTCAAATAATTCTAAATATTTCATTTTTATTTTTTTATATTAAAATAACTTTACAAAATAATTAATAACATGTATTTTTTTAGTGTCTACAATAATACATTTATACATATAACATATATACATATTATATTACTAAAAAATTCTATAGGGGCCCGTGCCCCTACGGGCCCCTATGTAGGTCCGCCAATGATCGCACGTGTACTTTAATAATATATAGAACAATGAAAAAAAAAATGCCTGAAACTGCAACATACATAGAAATGGAATCTAGTTGTTAGCCTGACATGTACACCACACAAGTGACGAGACCATATATATATAATTCACGAGAAATGCCAATCATGCAGAAATTGCAGGCAATACAAACAAAAATGATAGGGAAATTATTAATTAACAACATTAAAAGCAAATTGTAAATAACTATTGTGCATGCATGTGACTTATGCAATTGGACCCATTTGATCGATATCAACATCAACATACCACAAACATCCAAAAAGTTCTTGGCGAATTTTTATTTATACTACATGATTTAAAAAAAATTATAAATCTATCAGGAGTCAAATTTTATTTGTAAGTTTACCAATTTTATGTTAATTATTTATACATATACACTACAACAGAATATTTTCAGTTACCATATTTAGTGTAACCACTTCCTCAAATGATGAGATTTTCAGTTACGGGTATATTGCGTGTCAATTTCCACGCAGTATATATTGCGTATATATTCAATATATAAACTAATTAATATATTCGAAAAAACATGTATTATCTTCATTTTGAAACTGGTTTATGTATATATGTAGTATATTTTCTGGGTTTTTTTTTCGATCTCATATATATATATATTGGGGTTTATATAAGTATAACTAACATATACCGAACATATACAGAACATATACTATTTTCTGGAATTATATATGTATACCGAACATATACTATTTTTTGGAATGTTATATATATATATATACGTATACAGAACATATACTGAAAATAATTTTAGATCCAGGCGTCGAGTTGTTCATAATTCTCATGAATTTCATTCCAATTTCGATTTTCACCCGTCTGTTTGTGGAATGACTCGTAGCTGTTGTCTTCTTCATACTTGCTGCTCGTTGATGGCGATGGATGAAAGGACGACTTGCTGCTCGTTGATGGCGATGGATGAAAGGACGACTTGCTGCTCGATTGCACGACCTGCTGCTCGTCGATGGCGCACAGCGAGGCTCTCCGAACAGTGAAAAAGAACGCCTAACGATAGGATTTTTAAGTCGGGATCAAACCTGGATTTCAGTTGGGGTCTGCTCGATCGAACGGTGGGAGAGAAGAGAAAAGAAAAGAATCCTCATTAATAGGAAATCAGTATTGGCCAATAACTGCAAAACCACGTTAAATCTGCCACTTCCTTAATGAAATATAATTATGCGTAAATAGAATTCTGGTATTTATGCAAATAAATTACCTAGTTTTAGTTATTCTGCTAATAAATACATATGGAGTGTAAATATATAATAAAAAGTATCTTTTATAGTGGAGTAGGTAATTTTCTCAAAGTTCTTTATATTAATCTGGTGATGGGCCCAACACAAAAGGGACGCATTACATACAACCCAAAATCTAAAATTCAATCTCTGACATATCAACACGATAGCTGTTTGTTAAGTCGTTCTTCTTGTAAATTGGGAATCCTCAAATATTCGATATTCACCGAACATCTATCAAACCACTAAAAAGATATGCAGTAGGGAGAACGAGAAAATAGAAGAGCTATATTTCATTCATAGTTATATCACCTTTTTATAAAGTTTATATACAATAGAGAAGCCATAAAACTTAAGTTTTCTAACTAATGGGCTTCAGGCCCAATTTTATATATTAGTAATGTCCGTGTTAATATATTTTTATAATACTCTCCCTTGACCATTATTTATGCCTCATTAAAAACATTACTAATAAAAAATCCTACAAGGAAAAAACTAGTTAATGAACAAAAAGTACATGATTTATAGAAATTCATGTACGTCTTTTACTAGATGCCTCATTAAAAACTTTTAACTAATAAATTTAATGGAAAAAACTTAGTTAAAGAAAAAAGAGTATAGCAATTGGTCTTCAGGACCCAATCTTCAAGATTATGTTGAGTTTATCCCTATTTGTGAAGACAATGATCTTCCCAGCTTACGCATAGCAATACCATAAATGTATTTTTCAAAAGTAACTGTAGCAAGGGATTTGGTGAATAGGTCTACCAAATTCTCACTAGACCGTACTTTTTGTACAATAATCTCACCGCTTTTCTGGAGCTTATGTCGGTGAAAGAATTTTGGAGCAATGTGTAAAGTCCACAGGATTAAGTACTATGTTTGCTCAAGGGATTCAAGTGTGTAAAGTCCACGTGACGTGGCCAAAGAAGTAGTTGGTAGGATCGAATATAGTGTTGGCTAGACTAGAAAGAAGTTTTAGTTGTATAAGTTCCAACGTGTGCACAATCGATTTATTAATAAAAGATCTCTGACGGGTACTAGGACACTCCCCAAAGTAAGACACTCCCAGGAGAGTTTTTATCTCTTGTTTGTGCTTCCGCTATTTAACTTATTCTGGCATTACAATACAATTTGAAAATTTATAAACTTTCTGTGTCCTAACACAATTAAACGCATTCTACGTAGCATCAACATATCAATATATATAGATTTGTTTTCGGCTTATCATGTATTCGGATTGTATGCTTCATGTAAAAAAATTAAATGACGAACAAATTTACATCATACATTTGTATGACTTATAACCACAGAATC